TGGAGTCTCACTCTGTTGCCCAGGCTGGAATGCAGTGGCACGATCTCGGCTCACTGCAACCTCCACCTCCTGGGTTGAAGTGATTCTCCTGCCTCAGCCTCCTGAGTAGCTGGGATTACAGGCATGCACTACCACACCTGGCTAAGTTTTTTGTATTTTAGTTGAGATGGGTTTCACATATTGGTCAGGCTGGTCAAACTCCTGACCTCAGGTGATCTACCCACCTTGGTCTCCCAAAGTGCTAGGATTACAGGTGTGAGCCAGCGCACCTAGAGAGAACATAGTTTCTTCATCTCCCTGTCCCATGACTTCACCCTGCACTCTTTGACCAATTAACAATGCCCAAACTTCGGCCCACTCCAAAACCCTTAAAAACCCCAGCCCCAAACTCCTTAGGGAGATGAATTTGAGATTTCCTCCTATCTCCTTATTCAGGGGCCCTGTGATTAAACCTCTTTCTCTGCTGCAACCCAGTGTCTCAGCATATTGACTTGCCACATGCAAAATCACTGAAAAATCTTATTTGCTATTCAAAAATCAAAATCTCTAAAAATTTAAGGTTTTTTAATAACTTGTTCTGTAGGCAAATTTGACCTGAACTGAATATGTGGCAGGCAAACCTGACCTGGACTGATGTCAATTATTTATATCTTTTTTTATCCTATGTGATGTAAAAGTTCATATATTTCACTGGAGAAATATTAATGTATAGGGTTGCAGAGTGCTTCCCCAGGGCCTGCTGAGGTGTTAAGCAATGCTCAGGATATGCATTAACCTTTCTTTTTGTTATTTGCTTTTTTTTTTTTTTTTTTTTTTTTTTTGAGACAGAGTCTCACTCTGTCACCAGGCTGGAGTGCAGTGGCACGATCTCGGCTAACTGCAACCTCCACCTCCCGGATTCAAGCAATTCTCCTGCCTCAGCCTCCCAAGTAGCTGAGACTATAGGCACGCCCAACCATGCCCAGCTAATTTTTGTATTTTTAGTAGAGACGGGGTTTCACCATGTTGGCCAGGATGATCTCGATCTCTTGACCTCGTGATCCACCTGCCTTGGCCTCCCAAAGTGCTAGGATTCCAGGCTTGAGCCACTGCACCTGGCCGCATTAACCTTTCTAAACCCCAAATATTTTGAATTTTGAAATATATTTGGTCCCAGTGTTTCAGATAAGGACTATGAACTGTAATAAAAATATAGTTGTTGGCTGGGCACAGTGGCTCACGTCTGTAATCCCAGCACTTTGGGAGGCCAAGGTGGGCAGATCACGAGGTCAGGACTTTGAGACCACGTATATCAGGGAATGGAGCTTTTACGGATACATCACAACAGAGAAATAGGCGAGATTGGAGCCACATCATGGAGAGCTGGAATAATAGTGCAGTTTAGTGTGATGCAGAATACAGGGGCAGATGCAATGTCACAGTGCAACCCAGCTGTCTTGGTTCAAATCCTTTTGGCCACTAGACTGTCCCTTGGGCACAGTCTTGGGCAATTTATCTAGCCATGCTGGCCTCAGTTTCCTAAAATGAGCATTGCAACTGATCCTACTTCATAGATATGTCATTTTTAAGTGAGTTAAATCTAACACATTTAGAGCATTACCTGGTAGAGAATAAGTACTCAAAGTTAACTACTATTGCAGATAATTGCTGTATTACTAAAGTGAAAAAAATGTAAGATTAGGCCAGGTGTGGTGGCTCATGCCTGTAAACTCAGCACTTCAGGAGGCTGAGGTGGGTGGATCACTCAAGCCCGGGAGTTCAAAACCAGCGTAGGCCACATGATGAAACCCCTTCTTTACAAAAATAGAAATAAAAAGATTAAAATAAAAATTGGAAATCCTAGAAATTGTTCAGAAAGCAAGCTTTTTAATTTGATCACCTTTTTTTTTTTTTTTTTTCCCAACAGTGTCTCACTCTGTCGCCCAGGCTAGAATGCAGTGGTGGATCACAGCTCAGTACAGCCTTGATCTCCTAGGCTGAAGTGATCCTCCTATCTCAGCCTCCCAAGTAGCTGGGACCACAGGCACACAGGACCACACCTGGCTAATTTTTTTATTTGTAGAGGTAAGGTCTTGCCATGTTGCCCAGGCTGGTCTCAAACTCCTGAGTTCAAGCAATCCCACCTTGGCTCCCTAAAGTGCTGGGATTACAGGTGTGAGCCACTGCACCTGGCTTTTGATAACTTTTTTACTTTAGCAAAGTTTTTATTTTTCCTTTTAAAAATGACAAAGCAAAGACAATCAGTAGCTGATGAAGCAAGGTTTATCTTTATAGAGGTTCTAACTAATCAATGAAGAATGAGTAATAAAATATCACCATTTTGCCACACCTAGTGAAAAAACGGATCTAGGCAATGAAGAGTTTCTAATATCATTTAAAAAGACACAACGTTTAAGAGACTCCCATAAGCAAAGTCCACATAACCACAGAGCATAACCACAGCTATGAAGTAGTTTTGCCAAAAACAATTTAAACCTGAATCTGATCAAGTTTCTAGAGCAGTTTACAGGAGATAAAGGGAACAAAGGACACATGATATACCACAAGTCTAGAAAAATCTTAACTGTGTGAAACTTCTCAGGGCTAAGGATCCAGTTTCTTCAACAAATACATTGCAAGGAAAAAAAAAAAAGGAGAATCTAAAGATTAAAATAAACCAACAATATAACAACCAATTGCATGTATGTACTTTCTTTGAATCCTGATATGAACAAACAAAATACCACAAAAAAGAGAAAAAAATCTGACACAGGGAAATTTGAACACTGACTGGATATTAGATAATATTAAAAAGTTTTTATTTTCTTAAGAACAAGGTCTCGCTGTTTTGTGTTTTGTTTTGTTTTTGTTTTTGAGAGAGTGTCTTGCTCTGTCACCCAGGCTGGGGTGAGGTGGCGTGATAGCTCACTGCAGTCTCCACTTCCCAGGTTCAAGTGAGTCTCATGTCTCAGCCTCCTGAATAGCTGGGATTACAAGTTCGTACCATCACGCTTGGCTAATTTTTGTATTTTTAGCAGAGATGGGGTTTCACCATATTGATTAGGCTGGTCTCAAACTCCTGGCCTCAAGTGATCCACCCGCCTCGGCCTCCCAAAGTGCTGCAATTACAGCCGTGAGCCACTGCGCCCAGCCTGAGTTCTAAAATTCTAAGTTGTTCTGCATAGTCGGAACAACTTGGCTGCCATAACAAAAAAACAGCCTGGGCTGGGCATCGTAGCTCACACCTGCAATCCCAGGATTTTAGGAGGCTGGGAGTTTGAGACCAGCCTGGTCAACATAGTGAGACCCCCCATCTCTAGTTAAAAAAAAAAAAAAAAAATCTGGGCGCGGTGGCTCACGCCTGTAATCCCAGCACTTTGGGAGGCTGAGGCAGGCGGATCACAAAGTCAAGAGATCAAGACCATCTGGTCAACATGGTGAAACGCTATCCCTACTAAAAATACAAAAATTAGCTGAGTGTGGTGGCACGCACCTGTAGTCCCAGCTACTCAGGAGGCTGAGGCAGGAGAATTGCTTGAACCCGGGAGGTGGAGGTTGCAGTGAGCCAAGAACAAGCCACTGCACTCCAGCCTGGTGACAGAGCAAGACTCCGCCTCAAAAAAAAAAAAAAAAAAAAAAACCACCGAGTTGGTGGCCTAAACAACAGAAATTTGTTTCTTAGCCTCTTGTGAGACTGGGAAGTCTAAGATCAAGGTGGCAGCAAGGTAGGTTTCAGTCTGATACCTTTTCTCTTGGTTTGTAGGTGGCCACCATCTCACAGGGTACTCATATAACCTCTTTTTTGTTTGGGCAGGGAGAGTGAGCAAGATCTCTGATGTCTTTTTAGGAAGACATGTCCTATTATGATGTCCTATTATGTCAGGGCTCTACTCTTATGACCTCATCTAACCTTAATCACCTTAAAGGCCCTATCTCCAATAGAGTCACATGTATTGGAGGGGTTAGGGCTTCAATATATGAATTTTTAAAATAAGTATTAGTAATATGAACATGATTATGAATATAAACAATTCAGTCCATAGCAGTAAGACTACTTTTTTTTGTTTTGTTTTGTTTCGTTTTGAGATGGAGTTTCGCTCTTGTTGCCCAGGCTGGAGTGCAATGGCACAGTCTTGGCTCACCACCACCTCCTCCTCCCGTGTTCAAGCGATTCTCCTGCCTCATTCTCCATGTAGCTGGGATTACGGGCATGTGCCACCACGCCCAGCTAATTTTGTATTTTTAGTAGAGATGGGATTTCTCCATGTTGGTCAGGCTGGTCTTGAACTCCTGACCTCAGGTGATCCATCTGGCTCAGCCTCCCAAAGTGCTAGGATTACAGGCGTGAGCCACCATGCCCAACCAAGACTAATTTTTTAAGGCGAATAAAGCTTTATATATAATACTCAAGTCATATAGCTGAATACACAAATCAAAATAAAGAATTAAATAACTTTTTGGATAACTTAGGAGAATGACTTTATGTAGATCCTTTGGAACTTTTCCCCTACTGGAACATAAGCTCCATGTGGGCAAAGGTTTTTGTCTTTTCTGTTCATTGCTAAATCCTCATGACTAGAATAGTGAATAGCACATAACTGGTGTTCAGTATTTATTGAATACATGATTGAAGGTTTTATTTTCCTTTTTGGAGCAGGGAGACCCTATATCAGAGCTTAGGAGCCACAGATCATTAAAGCAGATTGCCTTAATTGAATATTGGCTCTATCACTTACTGTTTTTTTACCTTGGATAAGCTACTTTAGCTCTATGTGCTTTAATTTTCTCCTCTGCAAAATGAGTATTTTAAGGTTGTAAAAATTAGATGAATTAATAAGGTAAAACCATTTAGAACAGTATTTAGTACATAGTACATAGAAGTAGGTACCTTGAAGTTGGTTATAAATGTCAGATATAATTTTGCATATATAGTTAATTCTCCTTTCTATGTATGTGATTATAATCTAAGAAAATACTCTGTAAAGTCAGTAATATGGAACATTTTTTGCCTTTTCTTTCAGGAGGAAAAATTGAGGCATGGAGATAGAAAGACTGTAAATGTGATAGCCAAGGGCTGGATCCCACTGGATTAGTCAAAGTAGGACAATATGCTTGCATTTTCCTGCAATTGTTTATTAACTGGAGCTTTCATTCTTCACTTAATCAGTGGTTCATAAGCTATGAATCTAGGTTGAGCCCCTACATTCCCATGTGCAAAGAACATTATAAAATCACTAACGTGGAAATATAGTCTCCTAACTTTTGGGTCCTGTTATTACTTTTAAAATACAAATTTATTTGTATCATCCTTTAGTCATTAGGTATTTTCTGAAGCAATGGAAGCTGAAAGTACAGAAACTACACGCAGAATCTTCTACATTTGTGGACGATGAAAAAGGAGTCTTTGTTTTTTAAAAAATCAGAAAGCAGTGCTCTAGGGGCTTCTAATATATAAGGAAATTATTGTAATTTCACATGCAATATGTTCTAAATCTTGATCTCTTAATCAGAATCGTAGAGAATCTCTCTTCTAGGTTTGCAGTTAATGGTGAAAACCAAAAGCTCCACCTTTGGCTGGATAGTGGATAGAGGGGGTTGGAGGCTGCGGCAAGGTAAACTACAACTCCCAGGATTCTTTGGTGGGCTCTCTGGGAGATGTAGTTTAGTCCCGCCTTGGCCCCTCCCTGCCTCACACCATCTCTACCCCGGCTCTGGGCTCACGTTCTGGATAAGGACGGCGTGGGGGCGGTTGTCTCATGACAATTTCATTCTCGTTTTGTCATTTTTCTCATTTAGCTCATTTTTGTCATTTTAGTACATTGTTAGGCATGCTCTAGGACTACTCCTTCGGAGAGAGGTCGTTGCGGAGGAGGGGCCGGGAGCGTGTGTTAACCCGGAAGAAGTGAACCAGGAAGTCAACGTGATTTCGGGTTTGTTGGGCTGAAATGTGGCGGGTCTCTGAAGGTTCCGACCTCAGTAAAGAGAGCTGACGTCTATTCTTCTTTTTCTTAGGTACTGTGCATAGTTCGTTCCTGATCTTCGCCGCCGCCTCCTGTATTACCTCTTTATGGAATCACTCCATCTACTGAGTTACACAGCATGGTTTGCCCGTGCTGCTGCCCCGCGGGCTGTCGCTTCTAACCTGCCTACACTTAGAACTTTCCCCAAAGCATCAGAGTAATACTGTTACTGTGATGGGTAATGGAGAAGTCGTGCTGTTCCCAGGTGTAGTTAACCTTGGAGAGCAAACATCTTGGTTTTTTTTTGTTTGTTTCCTTAATGTTGAGATTCATGACCTTGAAAATTATGCATTCTACTCTGTTCCTAAAATGGAAATTTTAGCAATAAGTATTCGTACAAACATGTATTTGTCATCCTTTTATTCTGTCTGTTAGCAAATGGACACACTTTCTCTGACGTGCTTGAAATATGGGGGTGGTGGAGTGTAATGTTTGTGACAGCTGGCCATTGGTGCTTTCTTCCACAGTTCTTTTAATAATGTGATGCACTATCCTAAAATCTATCAGTAGAACTCTGGAAACTGAATGTTTTAAAGACCATTCTGAATGTTTATTTCCTAGGTGATAATGGTAAGTTAACAGGCTTATAGTGAACAAATGAGCTAATATATCAATGCACCTCCTAGCATAGTAGGATCACTGGAGAAAGTAAAGGTTGATTTTGATAAATGTTGATCCTTCTTTTTTTGAGTTGAGTCTCACTATGTTGCCCAGGCTGGCCTTGAACTTCGTAGCTCAAGTGATCCTCCTGCCTCAGCCTCCTGGGTAGCTGGACAATAGATGCATGCTACTGTGTGTGGCTTGACCCTTATTTCAACTTTGAACCTCAGAGTTTTAGGGGCAAAGTGTTTTTCTTAGAACACTTTATATTCTCCCTTTCTTACTCAGTAAGACCATTGTGTACTTTTGTTAGCTCTTGATTATCTCTGTTGGAGGGGAGGAGAACAAAATTATTGTACACAGCCAATTTCACCTAACCTGTAATTTTTTAAACTAATCTTTTTTTGTGATTATGAATGTATTTTATGCTATATGTGCAAGAGACTTGGAAAACACTGAAAAGTAGAAAAAATAGCAAGCAAAAGGTATTCATAATCTCACAACTAGAGATCATTTTATTAACATTTTGGTATGTTTCTTTTTTTTTTTTTTGAGACAGAGTGTTGCTTTGTCGCCCACGCTGAAGTGCAGGCAACCTCCGCCTCCCAGGTTCAAGCAATTCTCCTGCCTCAGCTTCCCAAGCAGCTGGGACTACAGGCACATGCCATCACGCTTGGCTAATTGTTATATTTTTAGTAGAGAAAGGGTTTTCCCATGTTGGCAAGGCTGGTCTCGAACTCCTGACCTCAGATGATCTGCCCGCCTCGGCCTCCCAAAGTTGTAGGATTACAGGCATGAGCCACTGTGCCCGGCACATTTTGGTATGTTTCTTATTTAACATTCTTTTTAAAAAATACTCTATGTGCTTTTTTTTCTTTTTTTACATGTATACTATATATTATAGAGTATTTTTTAAATGTAATTGAGATTCTATTTTGTTCCTTGCTTTTCTTGCTTAATACAATTGACACCACTTAATATAACTGTAGGACTTTTCACCAACCCTACTTTCTTGGTCTATTAATACTTGAACTTTTCTTCCTTTAGGATCTCAGCTAAAAGGGAAGCATTTTTGAAAAGTGATTGCAGAATTGAGAGTGAAAATTACTGAGTCCTGAACAGGCAACTTACATTCTAATACCAGCTCTATCTCTATCCAGCCGACTGAATAGTCATGATTAAGTTACTTGACTTCCTTGGATATCTAGATCCTTAAAGTTAAAGAATTATACAAGATAATAATAATATTTTCTTCAAACTTTAGAAAATGACTCTGTGAATCACCTTAAGACTGTGTTTGGAGCTGGCTGAGGCAGTAAATGAAACAAGATTTCTTGATGTTCCTTCCAGCTTTATTATGCATGTATCTTTAGAGCTGATTTTTTTTAAAGACTGTGTTTATTGTATTTCAGATGCTGAGATGAATCGTCACCTGTGTGTTTGGCTTTTTAGACATCCATCTCTTAATGGTTACCTCCAGTGTCACATCCAGCTCCATTCTCATCGATTTAGACAGATACATCTTGATACAAGGCTGCAAGTTTTTAGACAAAACAGGAATTGCATTTTTCATCTGTTAAGTAAGAATCGGCCCAGGAGATATTGCCATCAAGACACCAAGATGCTTTGGAAGCATAAAGCACTACAGAAATATATGGAGAACCTGAATAAGGAGTACCAAACACTTGAGCAATGTCTGCAGCATATCCCTGTGAATGAAGAGAACCGAAGGTCCTTGAACAGAAGGCATGCTGAGTTGGCACCTCTTGCAGCCATTTACCAAGAAATTCAAGAGACTGAACAAGCAATTGAAGAATTAGAATCAATGTGTAAAAGTAGGTAAAAGATACGTATGTGTCCTGCATAAGGGCTATTTTTATGTGTGTGTGTAAGTACAGATTTGATTTTCTAAGTTAAAACTTTATTGAACTTAGTCTTTTGTTTTTTTTTTTCCCACAGAAGCAGGGTCTCACTTGTTGCCCAGGCAGGAGTGCAGTGACTCAATCGTAGCTCACTGTAACCTCTAAGTCCTGGCCTCCCACTTCAGAATTCTGAGTAGCTAGGGCTGCTGTGCCAGGGCTTTCCAAAGCAATGTGATTATAGCCACTGTGCCACTGAGGCTGGCCTGAACTCAGTCTTTTAAAAAACCTACAAGTAATAAGCCCAACACTTGGAAAGAACAGGACTCTGTACCCAGAGTGTTTGACCCACTTTAGCTACTAAAGATCAACTCTACTAAGTAACTAGGCTCCTCGTGGTACTTGCCATGGTCTTAAGGTCTGGGAGACAAAATGTTGGTCTTTTCAGAAGCTTTATTTTATTGAGCAGAACTTTATTGAACACTGTACCTACATAGTAGGGCTACACACACAGTTCCTACCCCATCAATGAGCTTCTATGGTCTAGTGAGAGAAACTTATTTAAGTATTGTTTATAATGTGAGACCTGCTGTACTAGAGGAAGGCACAGTTTCATGAGAGCAAAGAGGAGAGGGCCCTCAAACCAGCCTGGACTGATTGGGTAAAGCTACCTGGAGGGGACCACGCATTAGTGGAGCCAAGAAGGAAGCTTTATATTTCTTTTTTTTTATTATTATTTTGAGACAGAGTCTTGCTGTGTCACCCAGGCTGGAGTACAGTGGCACGATCTCAGCCACTGCAACCTCTGCCTTCCAGGTTTCAAGCCGATCTCCCACCTCAGCCCCCGAGGAGGTGGACTACAGGCGCCTGCCACCATTCCCAGCTAATTTTTTTTGTATTTTAGTAGAGACCGGGGTTTCACCATGTTGGCCCGCTGGCTGCAACCCTCTGACCTCAAGTGATCTGCCTGCCTTGGCCTCCCAAAGTCTAGGATTACAGGCATGAGCCACCACACCTGGCCATGATATGTATTTTAAAGTACCGTACTAAGCCAGGCACAGTGGCACACACCTGTAATCTCAGCTACTTAGAAGGCTGAAGCAGGAAGATTGCTTGAGTCCAGGAGTTTGAGACTGTAGTGCGCCATCATCGCATCTGAGAATAGCTACTGGCACTCCAGCCTGGGCAACATAGTGAGTCCTCATCTCTCTAAAAAAAAAAAAAAAAAAAAAAAGTGAACTGAGTATGTATGTATCAAGAGGTTTTAAGAATTCTTATTTCTGACTTCTCTTGGATAATATGGAAGTTGTAGCTGTGCTGGACCATGTCACAGTATGCTGAGTTACAGCTGCCACCTTTAGACAGGAAATGCTCACTCCAGTTTGTTCCAAAACTTACCTTATTTGGGTTTATATTTAATTAGCTAGTCCCTTTTTAAACCTGTTTGATTAATCACTTGATTTATGTAATTATAGACCTTCAAATAACGAGCTTTGTAAATGTGGGTTTCTTTATTAAGCATATTTTTGTTACTACTGTTAATAGATTGATTTGTTTAGAGATTAAATGTTTTAAGCTATTTTACCTTAAAAAACACACACACAAGGTTTTGGGAGGCACGATTATATTACTTTTCACATTGAGCTTTTTGGAAATGCTTAGCAAATACTTGTTAATTGACATTTTCCAAATATTCTAAATGTTCCCTTGTATAATCCCTTGCATTTGCAATTGAAATAAAACTTAGTAGCCAAAGAGGAACATGGCTACTTAGGAGTTTCTCCAAAACTTTATCACTATTTCTGTTTCTGGCTTTTAGGCCTAAATAAACAAGATGAAAAGCAGTTACAAGAACTTGCACTGGAAGAAAGGCAAACCATTGATCAAAAAATCAATATGTTGTACAATGAGGTAGGTTTTCAGAAGTAGACTAGTTTAGTAGTGCTGTATAAAGGAATACTGTTTTTGCTAGACTCTGCTTTGGTGCTCAAAATGGTTTCCAAACACTATTTTAAGTGTTCTCTTATGATAAGTGATCAAGCTGGTCTCCTATAATTTGCTGCAGAATGAGAATGAAGAAATTACGGTGTCACATAATAAAACAAAGATAAAAAAAAAAAAAAGAAAAATTCAAAGTTGAGTCTGTTAACTTGTTAAGCAAGAGCATACATGCTGGTAAAGAAATTTAGTTCACCACAGGGACGAGTCAGAGGGTTTTAAGAGTGAGAAGTGGAGGAGGAGTTGTTCATGGTGACTGTTAATTAAGGATTGGAAATTTGCACTCTGGATAGAATGGAATGAATCCAAAGGCGTAGAAATAGTTGGTTAACACACATCTTTAGTTAGGTCTAGTAAGGGTGTGGTATACTGGAGCCTCTCAGGATTCATGATACTGTATCAGCATCAGCTGATACCTCCTAGACATGGGAATGGAAGATTTCCCTTCCATAGTGGTCTCTTTTCCTTCTTGCTTAATGGATGGTTTGTCTACAAAGACAATGAAGAACGCACTACGGTACACCATGTTTCCCTCTGTCACATTTGCCGTCTTCCTACCTTCAGTCTTTCTTACTCTGGGAATCCAAGAGACGGGCTTTTTGAAAAGTTAAGGGGGAGGTTACATGGGATATCAGTTATTTTTATTACGAATTGAACCAGTTAATCAAAGGTAGAAGATGTCTGACTCTTAGTCTGATGTTCTCTCCCATAGACTATATCATTTCTAGCAGAGATGGAGTATTTCAGAAATTGGCAGTAGGGAGAATCATGACACATAGGTACTTTTAGTTTGATTTGAAAAACTTTTTAGTAATAGTGAAATTACTTCCCTTTTCTTCCTAAGAGGAAAGTTGGTTACTTTCTTTATTAGGAAGCCTTTTTTTTTTTCTGGTCACAGCTGAGAAACTCATTTTGAGCCTTATCTTGGGAGCCCTCAACATAGTCTTTAATTAGAGCGACTCTGCTGAGAAGGCACAGCATGGGTGGTGTCTGCTGTCAGTTACAGCAGGAGATAATATGAAATCATTTCTCAATTTCTCAACTTTGAAAGCCTTGCTTCATTCGTTAGATGAAAGAAGCTGCTGTTCAGAACTAATTATAAGAGCCAGAATCTGAAGAAAATTGAATGTAACACCCTGGACTTTGATCTGAACTTCTGCATTCTAGAAAATTAAGATAATCTGATAACAGTGCAGAAAATATACTGACAAGTAACTCCATTGTTAACCTGAATTGATCACCTGTTTTAGGTCTAATTAGTTCTACTTATTATAGCATTTTTGGAATACCCTATTTGGGATACTGTATGATTTTGCCACTTATTGATTTTTTCAATGTTTTTGGGGCCTTTATTTAAATTCAGTAATAGTATGCCGGGGAAAATATACACACAAATGCTGATTTTTATTCCAGCTTTTCCAGAGCCTTCTGCCAAAGGAGAAATATGACAAAAATGATGTTATTTTAGAGGTGACATCTGGAAGAACTACTGGAGGTCAGTAAACTTATTTTATTATTTAAATGATCTAAAAAGTCCTTGAATTTTACCTTATCTGATAACACTAACTTTAAAAGTCCATTAAATGTATTTAAATTTGCAAATAGTTATTCTTTGTGTCTTAAAGGACTTAGTCTTAAGGATGGCTTTCTGAAATTTGTTCTGACTAAATATTTTTCATATTTTCTTTTAGGTGACATCTGCCAACAATTTACCCGAGAAATATTTGACATGTACCAGAATTATTCGTGCTATAAACACTGGCAATTTGAACTTCTGAATTATACACCAGCAGATTATGGTAGGCATACTGAGGAATTTGCCCGTAGCAGATACTGAAAATTATTTTACCTCTGATCTTGATTAGAACCATATTGTCCCATTTTTTTTTAAACTTTTGGTGTATATCTACTAAACACTGTGACATAGGCTCATCAATCACAGTGGCTTCCTATTATAGTAGAGTTGTTAGCTGGGAGAAGAGAGTGGAAATGAGGGAAGCGTTTGCTTAGGGAGAAATATGTGAATTAGAGAAAATTCCCCTGAGGAACTTAGATATGTATCTTGCCTCAAAATCATTTTTCTCTGTTATTGAAAGCGAAGATATATTAAGGTTTTTACTTTAAATAGCTTTATTTATAAAATAATATAATAAGTATTACTAATTAGACTAAGTGGCTAATGTGTTTGATTTTTATGAGAATATAGAAAAAGTTAACCATTTGTCTTTATTTTCAAGAAACTTCTGTTCTCTTTTGGCTGATAAAAATTTATACAACGGCTGGACACTATGGCTCATGCCTATAATCCCAGCACTCTGGGAGGCCGAGGTGAGTGGATCACCTGAGGTCAGGAGTTTGAGACCAGCCTGGCCGACATGGTAAAACCTTGTCTCTACTAAAAATACAAAAATTAATTGGGCATGGTGGCATGTGCCTGTAATCCCAGCTACTCGGGAGGCTGAGGCAGGAGAATCGCTTGAACCCGGAAGGGGGAGGTTGCAGTGAGCCGAGATCACCCCAGTGCACTCCTGCCTGGGCAACAGAGCGAGACTGTCTCAAAAAATAATAATAATAATAATACAACATAGGCAAACAGTGCAGTTCTTTACCTTTAAATACTCAAGTATATTGATTCAAAACGTGATGATAATTCTCTCATTTGTCCCATTCTTTTAATCCATTTGAAAGTTTTCCTCTGCTTGGTTACGCAGTGATACATTGTAGTAGACAGAGGAGTCATCAATAATAAACCACAAACTATCAAAGTAGGGAGAGAAGATTCATGTAAGTTGAACAGTAAAGGGAAATAAGAACCAGCATACAGCCTAAGGAAGTTGTACTTGGTACAGATTTCAGATACAACCAGTGGTCAGGAAAGGGGGTTATCCGTGAGCGCAGAGGGAAGAAACAACCGGAGCAGCAGCATGCTGGTGGGAGAGGTCTTGGTGTGTCGGGGAGGGAGTGGGGAGGCCAGTTTTCCCATAGCTTGTCAGGGAAGTAATCTCTGAAGTAGGTTTGAGTGGATAGATTTTGAACAGCTTTGACTGATGGGCAGTAGGAAGCTGTTGAAAATTGTATTAATATGATTTGATAAAATATATTTTAAGGAGATTATTTTGACAATAGTGATGGATGGATGGATGGATGGATGCATGGATGCATGGATGCATGGATGGAAAGGCTAGATTTAGTGCAGACTGCAAAAAGGTTATTACAGTAATCTAGATATGACTAAGAGTTAGAATGGGAAGTAGAATTATGTGTCAGAGACCTTCAAAGGATGAATAGGCATAATTTGCTGAGTAACTAGATGTGAGAGGAACTGTTGCTTATCCAGTATGTCCTGTGTGAACAACTTCACATCCTTGTGAAATAGGTATTACTAATCTCATTTTACAGATGAGAATCTAGGCTCAGAGAGTAACTAACTAATCCAGGACCACACAGTAAGTAATGGCAATCCTGGGATTAAATTTTAGTCTGTTTGATCCAGAGCTGCACTACATCCCATGATTCTATTCTGACACAAAGGAGATGAGCCACAGGGAGTCTAATCTTTCTAGCTGAGAAGACTGTGATACTCATTCATGCCGTTGGATGGAATAGAAGTTGGAAGGCAGAAACCATTTGGAAAGAATAATGATGAATGGTTTTTAAATTATTAAGTTTGAGGTTATAGTGAGCATCCACTTAGAAATAGTCAGTAAATAGGCTGGGCACAGTGGCTCACACCTGTAATCCCAGCACTTTGGGAGACTGAGTTCAAGACCAGCCTGACCAACATGGTAAAACCCCGTCTCTACTAAAGATATAAAAATTACCTGTAATCTCAGCTACTCGGGAGGCTGAGGTACGAGAATCATTTGAACCTGGGAGGCGCAGGTTGCAGTGAGTTGAGATTGCACCAGTGCACTCCAACCTGGGCAATAGAGTGAGACTCAGTCTCAAAAAAAAAAAAAAGAAAGAAATATTCGGAGTACATATTAAAGTTGAGTAACCAGATCTTTGGTGAGAGAACAGAACTCAGGCAAACTATTTGATACCTGTTAACTCAGAGACAATGTCTGATACTGAGAGAATAAGTGAGGGAGAGTCTGTAGAGAGAGAGCATTCAGAGCAACAAGCTTTGGAGAATGGCCACGTTTAGAAGGATAGACCAGTTAGCAAAATAAAAGGAGGATTCAAGATAAGCAGAAAAAGGATGAGGACAGTAAAATATTATGGAAGCAAAAGAGGAGAGAGTTTCAAGGAGAATGTAAGAAGAAACAGCAGCATTGTGAAAAGGAGAGTAGTGGAAAATATCGTGAGTGAACTCTGATAGGTGTATTTTGAATGAGACTTTCAAGAATAAAAGGGAGATGACCTCAATAACAGGAAGAGAGATTCTGTTCCAGGTTTGTAGAGCAGCCTAAAAAATGGTTGGGAAAACTTGCCTTTAGATACACTAACTCACTGGCAAAATAAAAATATTTTGAAAAGTTAAAAGCCTCCTTTTTTTAAAAAAAAAGAAACATTACAAATATTTTACTCATATGCCTTTAAAATTAAAGACTAAGGGCTGGGCTTGATTGAGCCCAGGAGGTTTGATTGAGCCCAGGAGGTCGGGGCTGCAGTGAGCCATGATTGTGCCACTGCACTCCAGCCTGGGCAACAGAGCTAGACTCTGTCCCGAAAGAAGTGGGGAGAGGGGATAGTAAATGGAAGCAAACAGTCATGTTCCAGAGTGGCAGTGGGAAAAGAAATGACCTCCTGACCTCGTGATCCACCCACCTCGGCCTGCCAAAGTACTGGGATTACAGGCGTAAGCCACCACGCCCAACCTAAAAAAATGATTTCTTTATTAGAAGCAGTTAGGAGAAGAAAATGATGTGGATAAAGAAAGGGCAAAAAGCACCTACCTTATATATATGTTAAATTACATGTGTGTGCACACAGATATATTTTTTTAATGTTTAATTGAAATGGAGAGGAACTCATAGATAACCATAGAGATTCACATAGCACTAAAAGCTAAAGTTGAAAGTTTCATGTACAAATTCATACGTTAAGTGACTTTCAAAGTCATATCATTTTATGGCAGTAGGTACAGATAGAGACAATATTTAACCATTTCAGAAATAGTTCAAACTAAATGATCACAAGATAGTCTATGGAAGCAGTGGAGGGTAATGGTTCTAGATATGTAGTGTAGGTCTGACACTATCGATCTGTAAACCTGGTATCTAATGAATTGAAATATTTTCCACATTAAAGGGATTCTATAAAATATATTGCATGATCTCCCCAGCCCTCGATGGATGAATGTTTATAATTATGTTTTGGTATTCTCTACTCACGAGTTGAATTTGGAGAGGGGTGGCTTACTGGAATGTAATTGTGAATTTTATGTGTCCAGATGACTCACGTTTCACCACAACTGTGAGAAACATATTTGTGGGGAGCCCCAGCATCCTTCAGGATCTCTGTGACCACTCTTCTCTCTAGGTCACACCATACAGTGGGGACTTTGGTCACTGAATTGGGAAACCTAAATGTAGTAGGAGTAATTCGATCCCAGGGTGGCAGGGGCCAACTGGTGGTACCCCACTGCCAAATGCCAAGTAGTAGGCGTAATTACCGTGCCAGACAGCAGAGTCAAAATAGCAAGCAGTGACCGGGCGCAGTGGCTCACGCCTGTAATCTCAGCACTTTGGAAGACTGAGATGGGTGGATCACCTGAGGTCAGGAGTTCCAGACCATCCTGGCCAACATGGCGAAACCCCGTCTCTACTAAAACTACAAAAATTAGCCGAGTGTAGCCCGTGGCTGTACCTTCAGCTACTCAGGAGGCTGAGGCAGGAGAATCACTTGAACCCGGGAGGTGGAGGTTGCAGTGAGCCGAGATTGCTCCACTGCAGTCCTGTCTGGGCGACAGAGCAAGACTCCGTCAAAAGAAAAAAAAAAAAAGCAAGCAGAATAGTCTCACTTTTGCAGACTTACAGCATTGATCATGGTGTTCCTAGAAGTGAAATAGATAGGAAGCCTACTACTTGATCTGTATAAGAGAAAATTTCTAGGTCAAGTAAACAGAAGTCTATCCTGAATCATAAAAACCGAGAATCACAGCTGCTCAACCAGTTTCCAGACTTGAGCCAATTTCCAGACCCAGAATACCTTGAGTGAAGGCGAGTGTGTAGGTCCCCTTGAGGAAAATCCCCAGGATACTGCCAAAACTTTTCCCCAGCCTCCTCAAAGGGGTGTATAGCCTTTTAATACAGTAACTATACTTTGGAGAAAAGAAAGTAATCAGAACTTTTGAGGACTTCTAGTCACTATCTGCAAGCCAACACTAATTCTAGGACATTCAAAAATGTCACTGTGATCTACTAGTCAGGATAGGGGCTTGTGTGGAGGTCAGGTGATCAGTGAGTTTTAGCTCATGCCCATCTCACAGTGGGCCCAGGGTGAAAATAACCAATCCTGTGGTTACTTTCCCAGTTCCAGAATGCAAAATTGGAATAGACATACTCAGCAGCTGGTAGAATCCGCACACTGGTTCCCTGACCTATGGAGCAAAGGCTATTATGGTGGGAAAGACCAAGTGGAAGCCACCAGAACTGCCTCTAGGAAAATAGCAAACTAAAAACAATACTGCAGTTCTGGAGGGATTGTGGAGATTGGTGCTGCCACCAAGGACCTGAAAAATGCAGGGGTGGTAATTCCCCTCACATCCCCATTTAGCTCCCCTATTTGGCCTGTACAGAAGACAGGTGGATCCTGGAGAAATGATGGATTATTGAAAGCTTAAACAGGCAGTGAA